TAATAAAATAAAATAGAAAATTAAAAAAATATAAAACAGGGTTTCAACGAAATTATTTGAAATTTATGTGAGTGTGCATGAAACTGCTTTATGTTGTGCATAATAACATTCTAAACGTTTTTGATGACTAACCGCATGCTTGTGGTTCGATGGCCCTTCGTGAAAGCTTGATAGTCACTCGTTTCCAATTTTTTTTTAGGAGACCTAGATCTAGTTCAACGTTAATTAAAATGAAACTGAATTAGGGTGAAGGCTACACTGAACTCTCTACCGATGAACGATAACGCCAGAGCTGTTGTTGCACACGGCAGTTGCTACATTGTGAACTCGAAACAACTGTGGTGAGGCATCGTAGTGAAATCAGCCTCTCACCAAAATAGTGAAATCAGCCTCTCACCAAAATAGTGAAATCAGACTCTCACCAAAATAGTGAAATCAGGCTCTCACCAAAATAGTGAAATCAGCCTCTCACCAAAATAGTGAAATCTGGCTCTCACCAAAATAGTGAAATCAGGCTCTCACCAAAATAGTGAAATCAGGCTCTCACCAAAATAGTGAAATCAGGCTCTCACCAAAATAGTGAAATCAGGCTCTCACCAAAATAGTGAAATCAGGCTCTCACCAAAATAGTGAAATCAGGCTCTCACCAAAATAGTGAAATCAGGCTCTCACCAAAATAGTGAAATCCGGCTCTCACCAAAATAGTGAAATCAGGCTCTCACCAAAATAGTGAAATCCGGCTCTCACCAAAATAGTGAAATCAGGCTCTTGCCAAAATAGTGAAATCGAAGAAACAGACATTTTTCCTCCAGTTTGGCAATTTTTGTCGAATTTTGGTTTTTTGACTCAACACATTTCATGTCCATATAAAAACACATTTGCATGTGACTTTTACTGAAAAACCTTGATTAAAGGCACACAATATTTAAATGTTCAGTTTTCAAGGAATCAAAAGCTATAGAAGTTACCAAACTTTGGTGGCCATTTTCTTGTACGTCTTTCACCAAAAACAGTTTACCCTACCTCCTCCAATCGCAAATACTTCGAAAGAAAGACAAAAAAACGAATTGTAAGATTATACCATTAACTCCACATGCCTAAAAATTGACGAGCGCCTGATTCCACCTCGTCGTGACACAAGTCAAATCTGCTCTGAAGGTCACCTTTCTATAACAATCTTCTGTACAAACGTACGTCTTACGCTAGCATCCCCCCCCCCTTTCTCCACCCCCTTAAACAGGGTTTTAAAAATATTTTATTCACTCTGACAAAGACATCCGTGTGTCGAAAACAATTTCTTTTATCCTGAAACATTGAGTGATCGTCTTTGACAATTTCGACTATAACGGTCACTAGGTAGGCACTACTTAATTCAAAATAATTACTGCGGTAATTGTTTGGTTCTTTTTTAAACCAAGGCACGTCACTTCTTAAACATTCGTACTTTGTAATGATACAAACAAAACAAAGTCACTCACTAACTTGTAATGAGAAGACTAATAAATGTTTCGAATCTCAAATATAGATTGTTGGACAGTTTTTGTTCGTATTTTATGTATGCAAGAAGATTTTAAAGTTCTCTAAATCTCAAAAAAGACACGTAGCATTTCTTTTACTTTCGAATCTTTGATAAAACGGTAGTTATATTGGCATTTCGTGACCTTTGCCCTTGAGGATATGGCTTTCAAGTGATGAAGAATCCAACAGTTTGTTCTAACGATCCTCCCCTTCACTTTGTATCCCAAAAGTCCCCACACACACAAACGCATACGTATGCATACACATTAATACACATACACATACATAAAGGACAAGACAGTTATAAATCTGTCATAATAGAAACAAACACGAAGCAATAAAAAGAATAAGAAGAATCAAGTTATAGTATCACTGTGTTCAGCGAAAACCGTTTAGAAATATGGATTTTAAGAATACTATCTTAGTTCATGCAAGGGGCCATCGAATTTCACTGTTTTTTGTCGCTAACTGACCTTTTTATTTGTTCTAATTTTCTCTCCCCTTTTCTGCACATCCCTGCTGCCGCTAGTAAACAAGCCCGGAGGCAAGAATCACCGCGGTTGCTCGTCTTATGTCTTCAAAGGAAGGACTTTACTCAGACTGCAGACCACAGACAGAATTCTGGGTAAAAAACACCACCAGCAACAACAACATCATCATCATCATCGACAGTGGGACGAGCCGTCTTATCGTACGTCACGAAAACCGTGGAGAGGAAAGCCGAAAGACCAGAACGGTATGACTTACGACGGCGGGAGTAGTCGTCGTCCAGACGATCCTGCGCTCCAGAACGGCGCTGGCGGGAAAATGAGTATCTTGCAGACGTGGGGATTTCGACGCAAAGCTTTCGATCAGCCGACTGGGAATTCGGATGTTCTAAATCGAAAGTCGGACCATCAGAACGGAATTTACAACTGTCGGTCGAATCTCGAGGAAAGAACGTATCTTACTCCGAACCGTGATATTATGCCGGAGACGAAAAGCGCTACTGTTGGAAACGGATCTACATGTAGGGCTGATGTTTAGTGCTCAATCATATTACTTATTGTTAATACTATCAAATTCAACATCATACGTTTAATCAATGATTTATATCATTATCATTTTTATTACTACAATGATAATATTATTGTTATTATTACAATTGTTATTATTGTTGCTGTTACCAGTGTCTGTGGTGTAACAGTTAGGCACTTCGCTGTCGCTCGCAGGAGACTTGAGTTCGGATAGGGAAAACTTGTACGGAGTATTTCGGTCTTTCTTCTGCTGGAACATCATTTCCTTCTATCCCTCTCAGCAACTCTAGTTGACCCTGTCATGCAGAGTCGAAGCCAGCCTTCTAGATAATCTAAAGTGTGCTGATGAAGGCGTAAAATACCTTTACATGTATATAACATTTTGTTGTTGTATTATAGTTATCGTTACATTACTATGTAAATATTAATGAAATTATTATTAATGCCACCACTATCATTATAGTTATCATCGTTATCATCAATGCTATTATCATTTTCTTGGCATGGCGAAGGAATAATTCCGGGGGGGGGGGCTATGTATTAATAGATTATAGAACATTAAACATGACCCCCATCCTCGTTTGGCAGAGGCCGTGAAAGATAACAGGACGCCTAATCCTTTGATCTCTTGCCTCGCTGTGGAGATGTCCATCGCAGCTATATCCAATTATCCCAGCTAGCTTGAGTTTATTATTGGAGAGTCAATTCCACGGCTATAAACTACGAAGTGCTTCTTGATTTGTGATCAACTGGAATGTTCTTACAATTTATATATTTTCCAATTATTGCTATTCAAAGCAATCGAGAGATATTGGAAAGAAGTGATGTGTTTTGAATCGAGTTATAAATTCACAGACCGCATGTACTGTGATAACATAGCCACAGCTGTAGGCTTGGGCAGACTTGTATGTGTGTGTGTGTGTATTTTCAGTGATGAATTTAGAGCATAAGTCACGTAGTGTCAGAAGCGTCCTGTTGTGCAACGACCGTTTGACTCATTTACGTGGGTTCACAAGTTTTCAGTTCGATTCTCACGCGCGGGGAAGATGCTGACATTGTTCGGGTGCCTTCTGTCCTTTTCACTTTCAGCCCATTGCTGGCTTTGTTGACAGGCAGTTTGGTAAAAAATCACGAATGGTTTATTTGTTAGTGTTTCCAGTTGTCGGACTTTGCTTCTCGGATCATCCTGCAAATTACACACTCTGAACTACAAATCTACATTTCTGTCAAAATGAGTGTGAAAGGAATCTACCCGTTTATGGTTCACTTTAAACCCGCGCTCTATCTCAAAATCGATAAATAATTTCTTTTAGTAGTCGGTATTCTGATAATTGAATATCTGCCTACTATAATCTAAAGGTCAGTTATAAGTGGAAGCATTGATTCTGTGATATAGCGCGGTTATAGCGAGTGCCAAATTAGTGTTTCCCTGTGACATTTGTACACGCTTTGCAATAACTGTACTTCTTATGGCAAGTTCGGGGCAGTAATGTTGTACATAACGAGCATCATAGTGTCACAATGCGGTGGAATCAGGCGCTCGTCAATTTTTGGGGCATGTGGAGTTATTGGTATCATCTGAAAGCTGTTTCATTTGCCTTTTTACTAATGGAATAAACATCCATGCGATCTATCCTGACTAGAATTCAGAATTTTTGCGAATAAAGGTTAGGTCGCCTGGTTTCTGTAGTGAATTCAGCGGGAAAGTGGCTGCCAAAGTTTGGTAACTTCAATAGCTAAAAGAGTCCTTTAAAACTGAAAAATGACCTACAATGTGTCTTTAATCAATGTTTTTCAGTAAAACTGACGTGGAATTATGTTTTAATATGAACATAAAAGAGGTTGAGGAAAAAAAAATTGATAAAAATTTCCAAACTGCCTGGAAAAATGCCCCTTTCTCTGATTTGTCATTTTGATGAGCGCCTGATATCACCACGCTGCTTCACAAAAGTGGACAGAAAAAATAAAGGGTCTAAGTCAAATTTGTTAGAAAAAAGTTTTAATTGTGACAAGACACATAAGGGGTGACTACACAACATGATATCTTTTGATCAAAATGACAGGATGACTTTTAATCAGAATTATTGCTTTCACGAAAAATACCCAAACTCGGCAATACATTTGGCCTTTGTCCACCTGTTTGTATTTTATTTTACAATAATGGTTGGATGGTGTTTTTCTGTTTCTTTGTTGTATTTTTTAAATTTTGTTTTTCATGTGTGTGTGAGTGTTGTTGTTGATTTTTTTTCTAGAAAACACCCCAAGGTGATCTAGAATACTTTCCCTGTCCCATTTAAATCATCACTTTCTAGTACAAGTGGGAGCACCTTGTCTTGAACCATTTACCAGTTCTGTTTCGAGAGCCGTCGCCAGGAAAAGCCTGGGATGATACCGTGTCTACATAATGACCTGCTGTACAGAGACGGAGAGAGAGAGAGAGAGAGAGAGAGAGAGAGAGAGAGAGAGAGGGAGAGAGAGGGAGAGAGGGGGAGAGAGGGAGAGAGAGAAAGTGAAAGAGGGTGAGAGAGAGAGAGGGAGGGGGAGGGAGAGGGAGAGAGAGAGAGAGAGAGAGAGAGAGAGAGAGAGAGAGAGAGAGAGAGAGAGGGAGAGAGAGAGAGAGAGAGAGCTGTACATTGGTATTCAACTACAATGGCAATTCTTTATTTGTCCTCGAGTTTTCGTGTATGATTTTCATTTCTATTCCTTTTCGATGTTGTGATGTTCTAACACGTGATGCCTTAGTAATGTATTTTTTGAGTACTGTAGAAATATTGTTAACCTAGAAATTAGAATACCGGCGTTTATATTATTATTATTATCAAAGTAGTGGTTAGGCTTTCGATTATCCCAGTCTTTATGCTGGGACGTTGTATCCCTCTAAGCACGTGGTGTAACTGTGGACAGGCAGAATGGAAAAAGCCCTCGATCTAAATTGTATTAATGCAGGTGTAAAAACTTTTAGAGGCACCAACTGAACCCTGCAGGAGTACAGGCACAAAACACACAGTGCCCCTTCATCGACAACTACCTAGAGCACTCAGAACCTACCATCCTGGAGAGCGAAGTGAGAGAAGCACCAACGACTAGTCTTAAGAACAAGGCAGCTGGAGACGATGGCATCACAACCGAAGCTATCCATGCATGCGGTGAAACCGGAATACTTTGGCTTACAATCATCTTCCAGAAAGCTTGAAAAGAGAGAAAAGTACCAGTAGACTGGCAAATGCCTCAGTGGTGCCAATATGGAAGAAAAAGGGCAGCAAGAAAGACTGTAATACTTACAGAGGCATATCTCTTCTCAGCCGTGCGGGGAAAATGTATGCAAAAATGCTAGAGTAACGCACTCGCGAAAAAGCCGAACATTTTCTCAGTGATCCCCGTTTTTGTTTTAGAAATGGAAGAGGGTGCACAGATGCAATATTTGCACTACGAGAACTATGTGAGGGGACATTGGAATACGACCAAGATCTCAGTCTCGTATGTATGGATCAGGAAAAAGCCTTTGATCGAGTTAATAGAAGTAGAGTGTGGAAGATCCTTGAGCAGTACGACATCAAGGAACAACTGCTAGACAACATCGGGGCTATTTATGCCAATAGCAGAAGTGCAGTACTCACTACCAGTGGAACATCGGACTGGTTTTAAGTAACATCCGAAGTCAGGTAGGGCTGCAATCTCTCCCCTCTGCTCTTCCTGATCTACTTGGACCAGATTACAAAGGATGCCAATCCAGACCCAGAGGCGCTCAAGGAACTCATGTTTGCAGTCGACCAGACAATGATGAACAACAAGACGCAACTACAGGAGCATATGAACCCACTAAACGCGAGCTGAGAGAAATAAGACATGACGATCAGTTTCAGCAAGACCGAGGTCATGACAGTTAGCAGGAGACCAGACAAGGTGGATATCAACATCAATGGATCCCAACTAAAACAAAGCAGTGAATTCAAATACTTGGTCAGCATTTTCGCAAAAATGGGAAATTAGATCGAAAACTAGAGACTAGATTCCAGAAAGCCATTGCAGTCGGCTATCTACTCGCCCCTCTCCTGAAACATCCCAATATCCCTATGAGCACCAAGGCGAAACTCATCAACGCCATTTTCCTACCAACACTCACATATCAGTGTCAGACATGGTCTCTAACAAAAGCCCTAGAGAGGAAGCTGGTCACATGCGAGATGAAATGTTTAAGAAGAGCGGTCAACAAAACAAGAAGAGGCAAGATAAAAAAAATGAAATTATGAGGGACACCGTAGGAGCAACACCAGTCCTACTACACACTGAAAAACAAAAGATTAAGTGATTTGGACACCTCACACGGGTGCCCCTAAACCAACCATCTCTGAGGACATATAACATCAAATATTCGGGCTGGGGAGCCGGATGAAGACCATAGGCGACGCTGGAGTGAATCTGTAGCAAACACCCTCAGAGCTCACGGGATGTCCCTCGTACAGGCAACACTCGCCTTGCTTCAGACAGACGCCTGTATCTCCCCGCGACAAGCAGAAGAATAAAGTAAAGAAAAGTAAGTTCATGTATCGTTGGTCTCTGATTTGTATCCTGAAATGTGCCAATACTTTTTTTTAGCACAGTCCTGTCAATTTCATTTAATGTCCTCTCTTCTGGATCAAACCTTCTTAAAATAGACGTTTTATCTTTGATCTTTATAATCATAACACTAATGGGAGGGTCTTTGAATTCCTACATTACATATCACACAAGGTCAAGATTGCTGAATACCACAGTTTGGTGTCAATGTGCTGACTCTAGATATAGAAAAAATTCATATATTTAATAAAGAAGTTAAACCTTCTAATAACTCTTGTTGGAAATTTGTATGCTTATAAAAAATGGTTGAAAAGTTGAACAGTGTCCTAAACATCCGTATTACAGTTCAAAGCCCTCGCTACTACACTGTAAAGGCATCTTTTACTTGTAAAAATGAAGTTGTTTTTATTCTAGTCCCATGAGCTTTAAAAAGTACGAAAGAAGTATGTAATGTGAATAAAATATTTGTTTTTTATGTTGACCCTCTGTATATAATATCAATAATGTTTATACATTATTATTATTCGTATTTATTGGAATTTCTGCTCATTCTTTGTATATTATCTAAATTCAATACCACCC